ATGGAGTTTTGGTTCCTTGCCACTGTCGCCTCTGGCTTGCTTAGTTGGGGACACTTTATTTCCAGTGATATCGTTGACTTGATTGCAAAGATACTATTTAAACTGAACTGAGCTGGATGATGACATCACTGAATTCAATGATGAACTGTCTTTAACTGAAAAATGAGTGTTTACTATTGTCACTTTGCATTATTGACACACTATTTTCCTAATTAATGCTGTTCAGTTGCTTTGACACAATCTGTATTGTTAAAAGCGCTATATAAATAAAGGGGACTTGACTTGACTTGACTATATTAGGTGGCCTTAACAACTATGTACTTACATTTAAATTAATCATTTGGTACAATGCACTTATTGTGTACATACATGTTTTTACATTGTACTTATATTTTAAAAAATACCTGCATGTAATTACATCTGTAATTAATTTCTGTAATTACATTTATAATTACACTGTTGACCCATCCCTTACACCAATATGAACAGTATGAACACAATAAGTACATTGTACTTATTTTTTGATGCAAGTACATAGTAGTTAAGGCCACTTAATATAAAGTGGGACCAGTGCATCTAAAAAGTTCTGTGTGAGGGTAAAAATGGTTAAATAATGACAAGTGAGAATAAAAATGTCACACCGAGAGCTTTAACTAAAGTGACCTGGACTACCATCACTCTGCTGTGTTGCAGTTTGCAGGAAAAAGGATGTGGGTTGTGATATGGAAGCCCACTGGACAGAGACCATAACACTAATTATTTGTTATTACTGAAGAAACTCCAAACTCCTGGTAGTGCAAGCGACAAGTACTCCATAGCCAGGCTCCCCTCGTGTTGCTATTGGCAAACAAGAAAGTCACAAAAAAGAAAACGTTGGTTCCGTGAAGGATCTTTTTCAGCAAGTAAAAATGTTTGCAGACTTGTGGGTAGGAGTAATGTGGGAATGGCCTGTTCTTACTCATCAGGTATGTTCACATTCACAATTTATTTATTTTAACGACAGATACAGACTCAGTATTACTGAAGCTAAGCGAACAAAAACAGAAACAGGCACTTGCAAAGGTCTTCGAAGTGTGTCAATCGACAGTGAAATAACAACACACTAGGAACAACCTTGAAACATGAGATATGAACTTTAAGCTCTGTGCTCAGCATATAAACAAATATAGATGCCTGTGATATGCTCTCCTTTGTCTCTCAAGGTCACGTATGTCCTTGATGAAGTAGGCCTGCACCGGAGGTCATGGAATCAGCACTGGAGCAAACGAATGGTCAGCACTACTGAAGGACAGCATACAGCCTCACTAATGGGAAACACTTGCCACTTCCAGTGGGTTTGAATTTAGGTTTGATTAATTCAATGTGCTTGTCCTAATTTGAAGTGGAAATCCCATCAAATGAAATCATAATCTCCCCGAAATAGCAATTTATGGATCAAACAATGGTGTGAGTTTGGGGAAAATGACATATTGTGTTTTTTACAGTTCTGTTTGGTCCTGTAGAGGCATTATCCTTAAGAACACTGGCAATGACAGAACAAATTATAATTTAATTTAAATAAATATATAAATAAAAATTCTTGCTTAATTCTGGATAAAGATGCATTTGTGTTTTAAGGTCTTTTTGTTAAAAAGTCTATCTTTTGAATTGAAAATGGAAATGGATTTACATATTCTATAAGTATAATTAGGCCTACTTATATATAAGATGTTCTGCATGCAGCAAATGTATGAGCACTTTTAGACCTTTTAGCTCTTTTGTCCCTGTTGCTCTTGCACTCCTAACACAGTAGGAAGAAAGACTTTTCATGATAGTCTTGCTGTGCTCATTAAGAGCATGCCCTGGTGAATTGTATTGTTTTTGACCAGACAGCTCTTTGTTTTGACTTTGTTTATGTAGTGTTACGACCCGATCAGCTCTAGTTGTTATTGTATCTCTCTGTGGCACATCATTGTTAATATTTGTTGAGTTAATTGTTAAAGGCAGTGCAGCTCTCTTTGTCTCTGCTGCTTTTATTCTCTCAGATGCACCTCAATTAAGTATGTATGTAGTCCAATAAATAGATACAAAAGAAAGCAGTTATCAAAAATACTGAAGCTAAAAATGACAAAAGATGACTAAATAGCTATTTAGCTATTGGTTAGTGTTATTCAAATGCCTGCAAGTTTTTGTGGTTTCTCTTCAGGTGCAGCAAGTTTTTACATTTTGATAAAAAACTTTTTCTTTGGACTTTATTGCACTAAAATGTTGTGTTGTGCGCAATGAAAGTAGGAACATATACTGTTAAGAATGTACAAGGTGTAAATATTTAAATGTTTAACATTTATTAAATGTGATCAAATATTATCTGAAACATCATTTATAGACTTACTGATTTCAATCGTATTCTTAAAATTAACACAACATAAATTTGTAAAGTTTCCTCTTGATGCTAGAAGCTTATTTGTGATCGCAAAGGCAAAGATGCAATGTTTACAAATGAAAGAAACTAACATGAGTCCTAACTTCATTGAATAAAATCATACAAAATGCATGCTACCCTAAAAATAATCAAAATTAACTGTTTTTATTAATGTCAAAAATATTGTTGAACATCACGGAATGCACCTAAATGCATTGATGTATACCAACAAAACTCGTGTTTATGCATTAAATCATGTAGTAATAGCTCTGTAAGATAACAATTACAAGTTACCACTTTTTACAAAGAAATTATTGTTTATATATTGTAATTATTGTTTATATTATTAGATATTTTACTAAAATGCAATACATCTAAATGTATCAAATGCTTTGAAATGTAAACAGTGTTTGTAAGCAATAAATATCAAACATGTATCCAGACGTGGAGAGAACTGTGTGTGAGAGTGAGAGAAGGGCAGCTGAAGTCACAGAGGACGGTGGGACAGTGGCTGAGAGCCAGATGTTGCCACAGACAGCTGCTTCCTAATGCAGAGATGGAGAATGTGATGACACATGCAAAAGGCAGTAGCGCTCGTTCCGTTTTCCCATCTCCCCATCATCCCATTCAACATCATGTATTTTCGCTGCGCAAGAAGAGAAATCCTCAGTTGTCCTACACAGATGCAATATTATTCACAAACCTGTGCCACTTACACACCCACAAGAATATATCCCACTGGAACGAAGAGAAATGCAATCTTCCGCACTATTTTTATGCACACACACAACATCCAAGCGCTCAGCAGTGACTATCAGTGTATAATGAGAAACAAAGCCACCATGAACAATAACAGCAATAATAAGCATACCATATCCATGCATCTCTGCCAATTAACATTGTTGCTACTATTTTTAACAATCCCATGGCAAATAAATGTCTAGTTAAATGAAAAAAATGGAAGATGTGATACGATTTTAAAGAAAGCATATTCTTTGCCATATTGAAAAACATGCAATCATTTTGCAGTTATGTGTTCGCAACAACAACGAAGTCAATAGGGTAAATACACACAGGCTGCTTTCTTACACAATCATGTGCGAAATGCATTCTAACAATTAAAGCGCAAAAGCTGTGAATGTTTGTTTGCAGGCTTCAAATAATTCCCTTGTGGCACGGAGCGTACTTACACATTCTGCTAATTGCAAACCATGCACAGTATAATGATAAACTACATTTGGAAAATCTCTCCATTATGTTACATTAGTTCCACAGTTTAAGGCAGCATCTGAGGAAATCAGTTATGAAAACAGGACTTGAAGGCTAAATGTAGCTGGGGTGTGTGATTGTGTGATGTGTTTTCGGTTTGTGCCGGTGTCCTGGAGTGAGAAAAAAAAAAACAGCTTATTACATCACATAATTAAAGGAAGCCCTGGGCTATGCAACGGGGATCCCTGAGGTGCATTTGACATTATTTGATTGTATTGATTGAGACTGGAAAAGGAGCACATCAAGACAGGCCTCACCCCAGAGAGCAACAGCCTTTGATACTAGTCTGCTGACGTTTTTTGGACATTTCCTCTCCCAGGGAAATTTCCTCTTTCATTGTTGACCGTAATAAGACTGAAGCGAGCATGTTCGCTCCTGTTAAAACTACAACTCTATTAAGAAAGCGCATGTGACTCTGGGAGGTGATGCTGAGCTTGGATGGCCTTCCTCAAAGCATTCATTAAATGGTTGCTAATAGCAACATGCAAGAGAACATCTATGCAGTCAAAGCCTACTCTAAATCATGTCTAACTTTTTCTATGATGTTTAAAATATGATTCATAGCAAACGCCAATGGTACAATCCAAAACTGAAATACACAGGTGCCTAATACACACTCGGTATCCTACTGTGTATATATTAAACCCTCAGTGTTATCTGCACTGAAAAAAAAGGTAACCTAAAATGGTAACATATGTTACCATTTTTACCATTATTAACTGGTTTTATTCAAGTCAAAAATATTACTTAAAAACACTGATACGTGATTTTATTTATACACAACCCATATGAGTTAAATCAGGTAAAAGTTGCTTTAAAATGTTATTGTATTGGATATTATTGTAACCTGAACACTAGAATAGAATAGAATAGAATTATTATGACCTTAGGCAATAACAGAACAAAATATGCCACTGCAATACCTCCCAGCCAGACTTTTCTCCTCATGAAATATTCAGAAACAATATGGAACAAGAGAATATGCAACAGCATATTGTCTTATGCATAAGATGCAATATGCAACAGTGTATTGTATAGTGTTTGGAAGGGGTTTTGCATCTGTCACAACCTGTACGCAACTTGTGCATGTGTGATTGGGGCTGAGAAAGTTCTGTGTTTGGAAAAGTAGCGTTCCCTACAAATCCGCACCGGCTTTTAACTCTTTTGAAGAGGGGAGTCAAGGTAAGGTAGCATCTTTCATTTAACATTCAAGCTTTGGGTGATATAAAATAATGCACAGATAGCGGCAACCCTAAAACAACAGCAGGAGCTACACGGCGTACCAAAGGCGTCCTGTTAAATGTGTTTTAAAAAAAAAAGAGGCTCTTACCGAATCTTAACACATGTGGCATCCCGTGAGAATATCCCACACACAGTAACAGCAGCAACAGCCCAAGCCATCTCTGATGAGTTACCAGAGGAGAGCACATCTTCATGATGCCTGCGATGCACTGCATGTCATTCCCCTGGATGGATCGTTAGATTCCCACTTATTTCTGCTTTGGAGGTGTTTTTGTCAGCGATGTGATCACGGCATGGTCACTGAGACAGAAGAGGACACTCCGTATCAGCGGTGCTCCGCATGTCCGTCTCACTGCGCAAAGGAGCAACCTTCCAACCGGGCGTCCATGTTAGAGAAGGGAAATCCAGGAGAAATCCATGTACGGGTGGCCTGGAAGAGCAGAGCAACACGGGGATGAGTGATGAGAGCTAGTGTAGCGGATCGCTTGACGCGCAGGAGGCAGAAGCGGCAGCGACGAGCGCAGGCTGCTCATGTAATGCTGTCTACTGCACTGCTGCACTCACACTGACGTCGCGCCGAGAGCAACGCGAGCGCAACACTGACCACTCACAACATCCATTTCCTACTTTAACATGCTTCACGTCTCAAAGCGAATGCCGTGCATGGATGTAACATCTCTGTTCATAGATATCACGTTCAGAAGATGCTTCAGGCGCAGCCGTTTGTCCGTAAGCTCTCTGCTGTGCAGCCTACGCTGTCTCGTGTATTTCATAAAAAAAGATTGTTTTTTTTTCACATGGTTTAAGAATCTAACAAATGACTGCAGTTGCATTAGATGAAAAGCAACCACAAAACCCTGCAACGCACATGCTTTCGTATAAATGTTGAAATTGCACTTGTATTTATTCGTCTTGTGGAAAAAATAGAAAAAGATACTTTTTTTTTTTGGGGGGGGGGGGGTCATTACTGCATATAGATTCTGCTACAATAAAACTATGGTGACTTGGTATTCACTGTCAAAAAAATGGAGATCTCATGTAAATGATCATGATTTATTATTTGTATCATGCTATTGTTCATGCATGTCACAATACATAATTAACAACCGAAGCCTAATCGTTTTCTATGTTAAATATATGTGATGACATGACAGAAAGTATCAGTTATTGCCCCCTCGTGTGTGTGTGTGTGTGTGTGTGTGTGTGTGTGTATGACAGAGAGAGAGTGTGTGAGGGGCGGTGCATTTTAAACTAGGATCGTGCAGTCGAACCTGGGGTCTTTATTAACTTACAAGTCATCATAACCCTCTTTGTAATTAAGGTGGACAAAAAAAACAAACAAGGTATCATAACACCACAACCACATCTTTTTAATTATTATTATTTTTTGCAAAGGACATTAATAGTTCAATGTAATTGTTACCTCAGTTATTATTTAACCTTTAAAAAAAGCACATGCATTATTCTGATCAGTTGAACTGTTCCGTCCCAGCTGTGAAATTTAAGCTAAACTTTAGTCAACGTCTAAACTCGATATTAATTTAAAAGCAACGTAAGAGCCGCTAAAAGTGTGGTGACGGTGAAGATAAATGTCCTTACCTCGGTTGTTGAGAGCAGCTCAGGCTGATGGAGTGTGAGTACAGTGGGAGCAGTAGTTCATGTGTTCAGATGGAGGAGCAGCTCGGCTCTGTGGAGGAGACACGCCTCCTGTCGGACGAACACAACTCCCCGCTTAAAGACACACAGCTTGCGCTTCGCTATAATTCAAAATAAATATATTGAATCGATATATTCTGGGAGTATATCATTTAAAGCATTATAAAGCAAGGTAACGACTAACGCGGTAACGCTGGATTTAACGTATGCTTTCAGCTGCCATTTCACATTAATCGCGTGCTGTAAGTGATAGGAGACGGCAAAAGAAAAAAATCGTATTCATTTTCAACCATGTGTTGGAACTGCTGTGATGCTATATTCAGCTTATTACCAACACTGTAGGATGGAATTTTGGTGACTGTATATTTTACAATTCTGAAATACTGAATTGAGGTATGAAAATAAAGTTAGAGAGTTATTATAATATGTATATATATATATATAAGAACGAGCCGTTTTAGGGGGGCGTGGCAGAGTCTTAACTTTGATAAAGAATATCTCTTTGGTTTTGAGACTTTGGTCTTCAGGGATCTTATCTATGCACAATCAGCTTGTAACACTCCAAAGAGAAAGGAAAACTTGAAATCGCATCATATGACCCCTTTAAGTAGTTACCAGGCTTTTATTTTTATTTTTTCCATTAAAATACTAACATATATAACAGTATGCATTTGCCTCCAATGCTACACAAAGCTATTGAATCATTATTTCCCATGAAGGTATGAATATATATATATATATATATATATATATAATATATAACATAACGATTATGAAATGTAAATCATGAAACTGTAAATATATTTTAAATTGTTTAAAATTTCAACATAAACATCTGTGGCAACTTGCAAAATCATGTAATTATATAATGACTGACTCATCTTAAGGAATTCCAGTGTGGTTTTATTGTGTTGCCTTGTTCACATCTTCCATCAGTTTGTTGTCTGGCATTAATATTGTTTACTTGCACCACATATATGATCGGTCCATATCCAAAAAACAAAAGAAAACCAACATTCTTTGTCATCTTTGACTAAGACAAGACACAAAGCATGTTGTCCCTGACTCTAAGTCTTGAATGAGAGTTTGACCAGACTGGTCTCGTAGAGTGTGTGATCAGAGCTATGGCCCAAATAATGAGATGGCTCCTTCTTGTGAACTGCATTTGAAATAGCCATGACAGCTCTGGGGGTCTTCTAAAGGACACACTCGCTATAGTCTCAGCTTTCCTTCTCTTATGTGTGTGCGGCTGTGTTATGAGGCTCTGACTTCGTGTGGAGGAGAGAGAGAGAGAAAGAAAGAAAGAAAGAAAGAAAGAAAGAAAGTGATAGAAGCAAGGCATCTCATTGCTTTTCCCCTCTCTCTTTAATTACAACCAGTCTACCATATCGGAGAGGAAATTAATTATTCACCTAATCTGCCACAGGAAGAAATACACGTCAAATGAAACACACCACCAGTGCAACAAACAATAAGACACATAGAACACAAAGCCATACATAAGCAACCAAAACACTGCAATAATTGTACACTTATGTATAGAGAGAGAGATAGAGAGATAGATACATAATGTATGTGTATGTACTGTGTGCGTGTTACTGTGCTGGTTTGGTTGGTAGAAACATGTTGATGGGGGTTGATACAACTTTCATCGTTCAAAACTGTGAGCGGGAGGTTAGGCGTTAAAATTAAGGCAGCACTGAATACAAATTGTCAAATTTCTTTACAACACTGTGATATGTGAGCATGAGTTAATTTTGAATAGCATCCAATATGCATCTTAAAAATTTTTTTTCTAAATTAATATAACATATATTGTATTTATTGTGTGTGAAATCTGTAAACAAATGACATTATTACTCACTTCTTTTTCATTATGACAATTTAGTATAAAAAAAAATTTTTTTTTTCAAAACTTTGAGCTCTAGGTTGCTTGTTAGAACTGAGTTGTTAAACCAGTGAGTGAGTGGGTTGAATTTGAACAGCACTGAATATTCTTTTAAGAAGAAGATGTTACATGGTCAAAAAACTCTAGTGCTTCAATCTTACATTTTGAAAACGAATGATTATTGCAGGAAATGAATCAACATCATTAAGAAATATAATTGGAGATTCATTCATTCATTCTCTTTTTTTTTTTTTTTTTTAAATAGTGGAATAATATATTAAACTTTATTAAAGTATTAAGTCCACATCTGTATAAATAAATAAGTAATGTGTGGCTCTCTCTCACACACATATATAATCTGTCTGAATGAAAAAGGATTCTCTAAAGTAAATAGAAAACAGCATGATGTTTCAAAAATATTTGGTTAAAAAATACACAAAGTTGCAGAAGAAATGTTGTGAATTTTAGAAAAATGGAAATTGAAAATGTTGTTTCATTTAGTTGTCATTTTTAGACTTTAAATCTTAAAATTTGACTATGCATCATAAACATATTTTGGCATTTTTACAACTTTTATAATGCAATAAAAAAGTAAAACAAACATGTTGGAGAAATAGCCATATGGGCAAGCCCTCTGACATATTGTGCCGTTGCGCTTCAGGTGACCTGAGTTTGAGTCCTGTTCCAATTTTTCTTTCTCCTCTTACATGATTTCCTACTGGCCTATCTAGGCCAAGGATCCCAAAAATACAACTTAAAAAAGTAAAATAAACTATTTCTATAATTTTGTTTGAAAAGTATTTGTAAACAAATGACACTACACCTCAGTTGTGGTTGTGGTTTCACAGAAAATATAACTTCTTTTAGTGTATTATTTCCATTATTCACAATTATTCAAAAAGTGTGAAAATATTACTTAATTGTGTGTATTTGTATAATGGTAGTCATAACAAGGAAAAGAAGGTAGCCATTTTGAAAAAAATCCAACCTGTCATTTACATCACCACAATTTCCACTATAAAATGAATGAAAATGTTATGTTTGATGCAAAGTTTTGACACAATTCAGAAAAAAAGACAGGTTTTAGAAACAGTAAAAATTTGTTTTGAGAGTTGATTTTCTAAAAATCCACATGTCTATCTCTTTATCTACCCATTGTGTCAGACAGTAGAGGCAGAGAAGTAAGAATAGGAGCAAAGGGACTTTGATTGAGTGTCCACTGTGAAAACCTTGACAGGTGAGTGGCTGTTTTCCGTGAATGCTTGGTGGACAGCTGAGGAGTGGACAGCACCACTTTTCATTCACACCTTGAGAGGACAAAAGAAACAAGCATCAGATTTGAAGTGGAAAGCAAGCTTACCTGCTGCTTCTCTCTGAGGCTCGCTTGTTGCCAAGAGCCAGTGACTGGAACTGCCCAGGCCAGAATGACACTGATAGGTGTGAAGATGTGTTTCTGCCAATGATGATCATGTCGATGGGATAATCTACAAAGGTCAGCAACGGTGTGCAAGAAAACTTACAAGCAACTCAGTGAACAGTGCTTGTTCCTATAGTGTTCTAAAGAAATTACCAGAAACATACTCTAGAATATAAGTATGTGATTGCTTGGTAAACATATTGCAAAAGCACTGTCCAGATGACAAGGCCGGATAAACCATATGGACAATTGGGCACTTGCCCAGGGGCACCACTTCCAAAAGGCCACCACCATGTCCAGACAGGGCACCATGTAGAGCTGCATAAATGTTTTCAAATAGAGCAAGATGTCATGCAAAGGCCAAAGAGTCAAGAGTCAAAAGTCAAGATTTGTTGCCTCCTTCTGGATGAATCTTCAGGCAAAAACAGCAATAGTGTGCATGTTTAAAGAACACTTGTTGAGATTCCCTCTCTTTATTTTATAATCAAGAATGGACTCTCGTGCTTTGAGGCATCCAGGAGAGTTAAGACAGAGAAGTGGTTGGCCTTCCCCCAAGCTAAGACAGAGGCGGTGAGGGGACACTTTTATCTTGGTGCCAAGAACACTGCCAAGAGGATTTCAGACATCTAAGGTGTGTCAGTGGACCTCGTGCAAGTGTCTACCCCCCTGGCCCTTGCCCCCTGCTGTCACTGCTAATCATAAAGTGCCCTTCAAGCACAGAGATGGATCTCATTGGGCTGCTACCAGTACCAGTCCCCAATAAACTGAGAATAAGAATTGTCTGTGTTCTTGAAAGATGCATCACATTTCCACATATACAATTTATATTTCAGATAACTGTTCCAGCTAATGGTGGAGCAAGGTAAGTTGTTGCATGCCCATTTATCATCCAAAGAATGGTTCAAACAGGCCTGCAAAAATAATGGTGCACAGATAGCAACAAAATTTGGACTTGACTTGGTCAAGTTACCTTCTGTTAAAGTCCATTCACAACAAGAAAGATAACCATAATGATAAATATACTGGTTTCCACACCAAAGGATAATAACATGCTGTTTATTATAATTGTGCATTGGACCTATTTAGACTTCACCAATCCATGCGTTTTCTCAAAACGGATAGCTAACATGTTTGTTAAAATGGTTCCATTTACACTTGGCCACATAAACATGTCTCCACAAAATTAATCTAATCTTCAGTTGCCATGCTGTATACAAATTCAGCAGTTTGTGTAACCGAAATCAACAGATATGTACTGTACTTTATTTACCATTAGCTGATTTCAAGATCAAAGACTGCAAGAGGATAGAAAGATACATCAGAATATAATTTAGCATTCACCCCTGTTGAAAAAGGCATATGCTGGTTAGGTATGTTTTGAAGTATGGCTGCTGGTTTGAGCTGATCCTAAGCAACAAGCTTTTGCTCAGGACCAGCACATGACCAGCACTTGACCAGCTTAAACCAGCTCAAACCAGCAGCTTTTTTTCAACAAGGACCACTTTTAATGACTTTGCTGAGCTTCTGGATGCAATGTTGAACACTGAGTTTCATTTGCAGCAGTTTGCATTTCTGCTTGCCAAAGAAAGATCGTCATATCCAGTGGGTCATTTCTGTGGAGATGTGTGTTGTTGTGCTTTGTGGCTGCGAGGGGCAGTACAACACACTTATACACATATATT